TTGAGTAAGCCCCCCCCCTCCCCGAGAAAGGCCCCGGGGGGGGGGGGGGGGTTGCCATCTTGAAACCAGAAAAAAACTAAATCATATACTTAAAAAAACCCAAACCACTACTAGAACTTATTTTAAGTGTATTTAAAAAATATTTTTATCCTGATTTATGTGCATTTGTGTTGTGTATTTAGAGGCAATTGCATAATAGCTCAAAACACAGTTTTACTCTATTATATGATGTATGGGAGGGTAAGGGGGTATATATGTGGGGTATGGGTGTGGCATATGTTGATGTGGGTATGGTAGGGTTTGGGGGGTGGGAGTGTGTGTGAATATATGGTGGGGGTGTGGGAATGTGTGTATGTTGGCGGGGGTTATGGTGGAGCGGTGTGGGACTGAGTGGGGGCTGTGGTAGGGTGTGGGGTTATGGTAGGGGGGTGGGAGTGTGTGAGGGGGTATTTGGGAGTATGGTGAGAGGTGTGGAGCCAGCTCCACCCATCCTGTCCCAGCTGCAACACGCAGTTCCTGGCTACAAGGCCAGGACCCATATGGCACAGCACAGGGCCGAGTCGGCCTGGTCTGGCACAATGTGGTTCCAGCTGCAAGGCTGGGGACTGCACAGCACAGCATAGAGCCAGACCAGTCCAGCCCATCCCACCTGCGGCATGCATTTCCTAGCTGCAAGGCTCGGATCCACGCAGCATGGCACAGGGCCAGCCCAGACTAGCCCAGTCCGGTAGTAGGCAGTTTTCCTCTGCAAGGCCAGGGCCCATGTGGCATGGCATGGAGGGGATGGGCTAGACCAGGCTGGCTCTATGCCACACTGCGTAGGTCCTGGCCTTGCAGCAGGAACCGCGTGCTGCTGGGCTGGGTTGGCTTTGTGCTGTGACATGCAGTGCCCAGTCTTGCAGCCAGGATGGGATGGGCAGGGCTGGCTCCCACTTCCCACCATACCCCCGATACATGCCCACACCCTCCCACACACATTCCCACCAACCCCACTTCATAACCCCACACCCTACTGCAGCCCCTCCACACAGTCCCACACCCCCCACCAGAACCCTCCACACACCACCAGAGGTCTCCTCTCCTCCTCCCTTCCCCTTCGCCTGTTCTTAACTCAATTTCAGCTCTCGGCTGAGGGAGGGCAGGGGAACAGCCACAGGGGCACCAGGGCAGAAGTCTCTTCTAGCCAGAAGCTTTCAGTCTCTAGAAGCTTCTAGGGGTGGGGGCAGGGTGGGTCAGGTGGTGGTTGGGGTTGCTGCATTGCAACCAGAGCCTGAGCTGCTTTCCGGTGCAGCTGGTGCCTCATCGGTTTTCAGACAGGCAGCCACTGGCAAGTCATAATTGACTAAATTTTAGAAGGGCCCCATGGGGCAGACAGAATGGCCTGGTGGCTGGATCTGTCCCGTGGGCTGTATTTTGCCTGCTCCTGCTCTAGATTATTCTTTCTTCAACAAATTGATTTTAAAGTGAAAATATAAAGCCTCATTCTTTATGAGAACCACATATAAAATGTGTGTATCTGCATTTGGTGAGATTACATTCCAGTTGATTGGGGGGTGCCTGTAATTACTTCAAATACAAATTCCTGAAATCAGGAGAGCCAGAAAAGCCAGACCTTGCAATGCTCAGCTGGAAGACCAGCTGGGTAAAAGCAATATTCCAATTTTAAATGTTCTAGACCTCAGTCATGAGACTTCTTTACAGTGTAAAACTGTTGTTAGGACAAAGTTCAGTGCTTTTAATATGCTGTGTGATACATAAACGTGTTTTGGAAGGGGACAGAGGGAAAAAAATGCACTACACTGAAAAGCTTAGTATGGGTTATATAAATCTTTGCTACAGTTGCCGAAATGAGGAATTAGTATAGCCTGCAGGCTAAAGCTAGCCTCTCATTATATATCATTTGAATGTTATTTAAACAATGATGATCAGCAACTGGAGAGGCAAAAATAACTCATAATAGACAAAACACTACTGTAAAATACATTAAAAGGTTTGGTGCCACTGTCACCTGTTCTCTAGCAGGGCATTCTGCTTCTCTCTTGGGAACTTGAGTCTTGTGATCTGTAACGCAGAAAGGGGCTGGTTAGATGCTGTGTTGCATGTTTTTTATGAAAGTCTGTCAAGGGTTTTGGAAGATCACACGGTGTTAAATACACAAATTGCAAAGTGCTTGCCCACACACCAAAGCAGAGAAGCAGCTGGAGAGTAGGCAGCACAAAGGTTGCATCTCACAAAATGAGAATTCCAAGCATGCTGGAAAAGTATGTAGTGGAGCGGATCTGACAAACCTTGCTTGAAAGAGTGTTGTAATCAAGACATACCATTGTCTGCCCACAGATCATGAGACATCATAGCTAATCATTCAAGTGACCGGATTTCACATGGAAAGAACTATAACTGTAAACACAGGCACCAGGGTAGAAATGTGAAAGGTTTGTCCGAAAAACCCAACCTCTGGCAAGCTCAGCAATGGAAAACAGACTACCATCATGCAATCTGTAATGCATTTAACAAAGGGCAAAAAATACAATTGGTCTCAATTAGCCAGAATATTTAAGCTCAAATTCGATTCCAAGTACTAATTTACTGCAACTTTTTCTCTTGTCATTTCTATGACAAGTAAAAGCATAAGGCTATTTTAATTGGAAACAATTACTAGTCTGATATTCTGCAGGGGAGGAAACCAAAATCACTTTTCTGGGGAACTGTGGTATCTGCTTGAGCACCTGGGTGCCTACTCACCTTTTAAAAAGTTAGTACTAAGGTGACAGATACGAGCTTTTGAAGGTATCACCCAGCACCTATAAGCCTAAACTTTTCTCAAAATGTTACTAACTCATATTGCAGTCCATGGATCACAAGCACCCATCTGCATCTGGAGGCATCTAACCACTTTTTAAAAATCTGGCCTTTTATCAAAAGTATCCTTCCTTAGGAGATGCTCCCAGGGTCCTGTCTCTGGTCAGATTTGCTAGAGACAAGAGAAGGCATGAAAGCCAAGAGCAGGTTATCCAGGCAGTTAAAAAGAATGACACAGCCACCAGAATGAAATCCCTGGTTACTTACACCATATAAAGAGGAACAGAAGGCCAAGAAGAGCTGTAACTGCTGAGATGACTGTGCTCCCCGTGAGATCTGCAGGTTGTGAGCAGCCTCTCTCTGATTTTTTTTAAGAGGAAAGTTACAGTTTGTTAGTAGTTCACTTATTTGGTTGTGGAAAACATGTGGGAATTGATTTAATCAAACCTAAATGAAGGGAAAACAGGAACATTTGTATTTTATACCATGAGTAAGATCTAAGTGGGATGCCTTGGAGACATCCATTCCACATTCCTGAGTAGGCTTTGGAATGACCAAAGTGGAGACAGATCCCCAGAAAATCCTTCCTAGATTTTATACTAACCATAGAGAATGCTGAGACAGCCCTCTGTTGTATGCATATCCATGAAGCACAGAGGCACTCAGGACAACGGAGTCCACTTAAGACACTGTAAGGTATTTAAACACCTAAAGAGCTTTAAAAACTCTGGCCCTCAATATCCTGTCTTAAGCATCTCCCTGTACTGAAGAGGCCATGATACCAGGTTTGGCAGTTAATATTGCTTATGTCCATCCTAACTCGCACCAAAATTGCTTATGTTGAGGTTCACACCAGTTTTTTAAGATGCAGATTTTTCTTTATAGAAACAAACAGCATAAGCATCATTGCAAAGGGAACTGCTCTCACCATGGAGTTGGTGGATTTTTTGGAGTAGGAGACAGGCAAAGAGCACCACTGCAATCATTGCTCCGGGAGCTGCAGAGTCAAGGATAACACGATGCCCTGGGCAAGGGAAGGAAACAGGGAAAGGTTTGAGAGATTTAGGAGACAACATAATGTACACAGATGAGCCAGAAATGTAAAAGAGATGATACAAGTCTGCAGGACAGGGCATTTCTGGTATGTGCATATGAACAATCCTCAAAATCGCAGGAAGATCCTTAGGGGTTGCAACTGTGTGTTTTGCATTCTACTGCAAAGCAGTGATGAGAAAGAAACAGGCAGCTTAGGGATCAGGTCTCTTTTCCCCCAGTGAATTGCATGTATTAAAATGGCAACGGAAGTATAACAACTAATCCAAGGGACAAATCCTGCCAAAGCTTTCTTGGTCACCATCTGACTGCTGAATTCTACCTCATACAACTGAGATTTCATTGGTTCCATCTCCTGACTCACAGCAGGAAATGACTGACACATCAAGTGTTTGCAGAAGGCCATGTGAAAAGTGAAGTGCACGGTAAATGTAACAGAGCATGGTTACAAGTGGTATGTGAAAACATGCGATGGAGGGGATATAGTCACATTAGTGCCATTTAAGGCTCCGTAAAGCCATTTCTCTGACTACCAAAGCCCTCAAGGTTTACTTTTAGGAAATAAATGAGACCACCAACTATTTTCTGATGGTTTAAGTTATAAAAACTCACTCACATATTTTGGTTTTGAATCCACTGAGCTTTGCTGGCTTCAATGCCAGTGTTCCCATTACCAGGATGGTTATTATTATTGCATACAGAAGGAAAAGCTCAAGTAATATGAAGGCAGGAGAGGGACCTGGAAGAAAGCACTGTATTAAATCAGAATTACAAAGATTGAAGCAGTTCTTCTGACAAAGCAAGGTTTAGTGTCAGCTAGGATCCATCATTCAGGTCTGATTTCAGAGATTGGACAATAACTTGTTCTCAATGCAAACCATGTTGAATTCAGTAAAGTCATGGGGTTACATGGGTTGGGGAAATAGTAAATTTGCCCCTATGACTGCAACTATAATGGGAAACCATTGCCCTGTGAACTGGAATTGGCAATAAGAGGCCATGAGTCCAGGAAGGAATTTTCTCCCTTTCTGCTGCTATGTGTATCCAGAGGTTGGGGTGAGGTGGGAGGGCAGGGGTGGGCAGGTGCCTTCCTCAAAAGCACATTTGGTTTAGCTGCAGCCAAGGCTGGGGATTTTGACTGAGGTGTGCCAATGCTCCTGCTGGTTCCTGGCTAGAGGGTCTTACCCATCCTTTCAGGGTCATTTGGGGTCAGTAAAGTAATTCTACCCCATGGTTAGATTGGTATGGACTGTGAAGTTTTGCCTTCCTCTGTAGCGGGGGGAGTGGCCCTTTTCCTTGGATTTCTTACGCATATTTTTAACAATCCTTGTAGCAGCTGATCATTGGCTGTCATTGTCTCCTTGATTTATTTGTAGCAGGTATTATATGATTTGTGGTTGTGTCAGGGTTGCCTCTATAATTTTACTAATAGATTAGGCAACAGATTTGTGTGGGATTGTTTGGATAAGGAAGACCCTGTTTGTGGTGGAGGGTTGTACTATGTGACCTCTGGAGGTCATTTCCAGCCTAACTTGCTTATGATTTTATGTCAGTGCTAAATGCTACTGGCTGGACGAAGCTCCATATTCATCCCAAACTCAAGCCAAATCCTTTAGCCAATACAGAGATTGCACCCTCCCTGCTTATGAACTATTCCTTGCCATTCTGTCTAATTGTGTCTTCTCTTAACCTGTTTCCTAACTTACACTGCTGCATATTTGCAAAATACAAATGCCTACTTTCTGTTGACTTGTGGAGGCCAATACAGTTCCTACTGAGTTCAGCATTACATGCATTTACACCAGGCCCTGAAAATCTTTTCACAATTCCTTTCTGGGGTGCACCAATAGAGATTTTTTGGGCCGATGCTGATAGCCGATTTTTAAGGAGGCATATCGGCCGATATTGATCCAATTGCCAATACAGCTGGTAAGTCTGTTGTGGAGGAAGGGGAGGGGGGAGGAAAGGGGAATGGGGGGCGCAGATGAAGACTCTTGCTGTGAGGGAGGGAGTGGGGCAGAGCCTGGAGCAAGTGCTGCACCTCTGGGGCTGGGCAGGACACGGGACGGAGCCATGGCTCATCCAGGGGGCATGGTGTGGGGAGCGGCTCCCACTGCTGTGCGTACCCCAGGAGGGGCATGTGCCCCCCAAATCTGTACAGGGCACGGGCAGGGCAAATGCAGCTGGGGCAGTGCTAGGCAGGCAGTGGCAGCACTGGGAGGGGAGCTGCAGCCACCCCAAAAATTGCCGTAGTTGCCCCATAGCTCCACTCCCAGTGCCACTGCCGCCGCTTGCCATGTGCAGATCTGGGGGCAAAGGCCCCCGCCCCCCCCCAATGCCCTTCTGGATGAGCACTGGGAGTTGCCAGACAAGCCGTGCGCAGTGGCAGGAGCCACTCCCCCCACTTCCCGCGCCCTCTGGATGAGCCACAGCTCTGTCCTGTGCTCTCCCTCGCACCAGCTGGGCATCTTCCCCAGCCTCTGCCTGACTCCCTCCTCACCATGGGGGCCTTGATCTGCACTCCCATGCCCGTTCCCTTCCCCCCACCTCTTCCAGCATACCAGACTTACCAGCTGGAGGCAGCTCTCCATGCTGCCAGCTATGCTCCTCACTGCCTACATGCTACGCTGCGGCTGCACGCCTGCACGGGCTATTTATCAGCCAAATTATTGGGTACGTCAGGCCAATTTCCAATATAGACCATTTTCTTTATATTGGTGCTGATCCAATATTGGACCAGTGTATCGGTGTGCACCTCTATTCCTTTCACGAACTGTAGGTTTCTTCTCTCTGTCATGTCTCCTTATATTCTGTGATAGAACTGAAGGGCTGTGGTTCAGGAAATGTGTGAGACGCAAGAGTGGGGTTTTTTGGTGATACTTGTTATTGGATCAAATGTACAGAGGGATGTTAGACAAGTTGTCAGGCACAAAAGTATTTAGGAAGGATGTTATACAAGCACTTATGTGCCCAAAAGCTTGTCCCAAATCATATCCCAACTACAGTTGGCCCAATAACAGATATTAAAAAACTCTTGCTTCCTACAATCTGAAATGTACAAGCTTTGTTATTATCTAAGCCAGTGAGATTCTACCTTCATTGTGCATCCAAATGACCATGGCAACAAAGAGCAGGACACAAGAGAGAGACACCAGCCCATGGATAAACACAAACAGCCATCTCCATGTTTCTCCCTCTGCCAAAACAGCAAATACATTAGAGTGAGTTGCACAAGACAGGGTGAATTCCATCTTCAGAGGTTAGCTTAAACTTCATTCTCTCCCTCAGTTTGTATGAAGTTTTGTCAGCCAGCTTTAATTAAAAAAAGACACCCCGCCAGCCTAACTCAAGGCAACGCATGCCAATGATTTGTTTGATTTTAGGTAAGAATAGTAAATTTTTAAATTGTAACAGAATATGGAAACCACTGAATTTTCTTTGGAGCTATATTTTCCATTACCAGTCTTGAGTAGTTCCAAGCATCTTCCATGCACATCAGGTAAGGACCCCTTCCTTACCGTCTTTAAAAGGGAAACCAGAAAGACCACAATACCAAGAATTACTTCTGCAAGTGTCCAACCCCTGGCTGTAATAGTTAAGAGATTGTTAAACATTAAACACCATCCATTTGGGGACTGCGTCTTTCCTTTTTCTTGCTGAGATGGTTATAAGGAAAATGGACATTCAGTTGATGCCGTGGCCCACTCACTGGCTGTTTTTCTTGTGGCACCCTGGCTGAGAACCACTGGCTTAGGGATTAAAGTCTATCAATCAGAGTCTGCTTCCTCCTTGGTTAGACAAAGCTTGAATCCAGTAGCCAAAAGGGTAGGCTGCAAGGCTCAGCTTGTTTTCCTGCTTTTTAAGTAGATTGAGGACTCCTACTGATTTTGTTAGGTTTTGGATCTTGCCCCTCATATGGAATTTATGAGGAGGTTAAGCAGAAGAGGCAAACAGCTGAGGCTGCCTGCCATTCTCTGTTTTGATCTGATGCATGGAAGAGAAGATGGCTTAGAGGTATGTAGCAAGGACACTTAGGACCCACCAGAAGAGGCCAAATACTTACTGATTCTTCGCTTTGCTGATTGACAGAGCAGAATAGTAAAGCCCAGCACAGCAACCAGAGCAAATACCAATGCAGCACCAGACATTGTCTGAGCATGCTCAAGCGAAGATGAGACACCTGTAACATGGGGGAAGAATAAATCTCAGCTTTGTGGAGAAGATGATGAAGACAATTCATTGAAAGGATAGGCTGTCAGCAACTCTGGGAAACTGAAATATGATGAGAAAGTTGCTGAGCGTGATACAAAGTTCTGGGTTTTCTTTTAAATAAGAATGAATATCAGAATTGTAATCTTCTGCCAATCACAATCCAGTGTCCCAACTATAAACCCTTGCAGTAGAAATCAGTCAATACACTGAAATAAACTGCACACCAACAGGTTGGAGAGCTCTGTGTTACACTGCCCCACTTTTAACAGAAACAATCTATCTTCCTTGTATAGGGAAGCTACTACCTCAGTTCTTTAACTCCTGTCTAGTGGTGCAGGATACAGATGCACTTACACACTCAGACAGACCTCCAGAAGACAGCTGTCACTGATCAGAGCACTGATGGAATCCCCCCATCCCCTAATTTCTAGTCCAGGACTGATGCAAGTCTTACCTATAATGGTCAAGTTCAGGGAGGTTTTATTCCAGCTTATTTCATTGCTGACATTGCAGGAGTAGGAGCCACAGTCTGATTTTTCCCCTTTCATGATGTGCAGCACGCTGCGGTTTTCAGACAACTGGTAGCACCTTTCTGGTGGGAGAGGGCCTCCCTCCTTCTCCCAGGAAAACATGTCCACTTTTCCTTCCTGAACATCACAGACTATTTTGATGGGGAAGCCTGCGAGGCTGGAATTGCACCACACCTGAGGCTCAGACAAAGGTTCTGAAAAAGTCAGTAACATGTGATATAGGCACCTCCCTCTTTAATACAGGTATGCCCAACCCCCAGGCCACAGCCTAGTCCAGTCTGCAGAGCCATGGCATCTGGCCTGTGGGGGTCCCCATAGATTAGGGCCCCGCAGGGCTCCCTACCTGTCCTCTATTGCAAAATTCCCAAGCCCCACACAGCCAGATTGGGCCTGGGCCTGGGCCTGCCTGACTGGATCAGGTTTGGGCCACAACCCATCCCCAACACAGCTGGATCAGGGCTGGGCTGCCTGCTGCCCCTTTCTGCACAGGTCAATCAGGCCCACTATGCCCGTTTTGCATACCGGATTGAGTCCAATGCCTGGATCTAGACCATGGTTGAATCAGGCAATGCCCATCTAGCCTGCAGGGCAAAAAGGCTGAGTGACACTGATTTAATATATGACATTTAAGTTATTTTAAATGTATTATACTGTGCCTTTTTTAAAAAGTCCCAGAGTGTAAGACATTTGTAATATATTTACTAAACAAAATGAATATATTATAGATAGGTAGATTTCTAAACCACTACTGTAATAACATAGCATCAATGTTAGAAATACTTATCAGTGACCAGTGTAAGGAACTATAAATACACTGGCCCTCAGTCATGAATAGCTATTGTTCATAGCTAAAACAAGCAAAAGAACAATCAGAGCTTGAAGGTTTAGAGCAAAAGAGAAATGGGCTAAGCTACCGTGTGTGTGTAATAGGGGATTTCTACCAGTACATGTTTCCTTCTCCCTTAGCTCTATTCTAACTAGTGCTCGGTGTATGGGGAGCTAGCCATTAACCAGTAAGGAGACACAGTCACGTAGCATTATTATTATAATTATTTATATTAATAATAGTGTTAATAATGTTATTATTATTAACATTAAATTCAGAGGATTCCCTGTAAAGCATGCTAGACTTTTGCTCCCGAATGAAGCCCTGGATACTGCTAGGCCAATGGTGGCAGTTGTTTTTGAGTACCTTTGAAGGAGGGTGTCTAGGGCTCTTGCCCCAGGAAGCACTCTTCTACCTCCATCAAGATATGGTACTGTCTCCTACACAGTTCTTCACAGCTTTTCTGGGAGTGGGCAACCAGGGACACTGCACAATCATTGTGAAGAGTATGTTGCACACAGACAGAACTCAGATGTGAATTATCCCAGGGATGACCCCACTCCATATACCCAGGTTCTCAGAGGGCAGCTCACTGCAGCTCAGATACAGCCACTGCATCTCGGTACTCAAAGCACCCTCTCATATTTTCCAGCAAGTGTCTCAGCATCGTCTCTGCTGCCTGTGTGGTTGGCTGAAAGTTAGCCTCTTTTGTCTGTTCACATTCACCCAGTAGCTTTGGCTGATCTTTTCCAGAGCAGCCTCTGCTTAAATGTATTTACAAACAAGTGAAGAGAAAGTCCATCACCTCAGTGTAATTTCACTTACTGATAACTGTGAGGATGGTTTTCCTGGCATCACTTTCTATCAAATTGACAGTAGCTTTGTAGATCCCACTGTCTGCCTCTTGTAATTCTTTCAACAAAAGAGAGCCATTGGAGGAAATGAAATCTACTCTTCCTGCAAAGTGCTCATAGATTGTTGGAGCTGATGAATCCTTATAGTACTGCACAATAAAGTGGGTTGAGGAACCATGAATATATTCCCATTGTATATAGTTCACATCCTTTATGCTGTCTGGTGCAATTAGCAGCACTGAGGATCCAACAGCTGAAGTTTTGATCCCTGCTGCGTCTGCAGACCACTGGCAAACCAGCAACAGAACTGGAAGGAGAAGGAAGAGAAGCCAGAGAAGAAACTAGTTACAAGGCAAAGCCTAAAACAAATGTTTTCTATGCCACTCTATTCAAGTTCTTATACCATCCTCATCATCTTTTATCCAAACACTTTGTAGAAGTCCCTTGATAGGATCCTCAAATGCGTCCCTCTTTTTCTATCCAAGGTGATAGATGTATGAAGATTTTGTACTTTTATTTTGTGTTTACTGTTGTCCCCTGTATGTATTAGCTAGGGGTGCACCAATAGAGATTTTGGGGGCTGATACCAATAGCTGATTTTTAAGGAGCATGCCCCCCACGATGAGGGAGGCACTGGGGTAGCCCAGTGCCCCCCACCACTGCTCCCACCACTCATCCGGGAGGGCATGGGGGGGGGCGCATGTGCCCCCAGTTCACAGCATGAGCCGGGCAGGCTGCAGCTGCAGGTTGGGGCCAGGAGCCGCACTGTGCTGGGGGCGGGCACTGATGGTGCTGGGAGGGGTGGGGGGCTACAGTGAAATTTGGGTTGTCTGCAGTCCCCCCCCACCCCCATAGCTTCCCTCCCAGCACTGTTGCAGCTGCTTCAAGCACAGAGCAGTGCAGTTCCCAGCTGCAGCCCACTCAGACCACACTGTGCAGTTTGGGGGCACATGCCAAACCAAGGAGAGGAGTTGATTTGGAGTTCTCTCAAGAACTGAGAGAGGCTGCGCATACAAGGGACTTGGTTGTCATGGGCAACTTCTATCCGGACACAGACTGGGAGGAAGACTGAGCTAAGTCGGATTGGACGTGTAGCTTAACTGTAATCGAGGAGCTCTTTCTGACCCAGGAAGTGCAAGGGCCAACCAGAGGTACTGCTCTCCTAGACTTGGTCTTGGCCAAAGGAGATGATCTGGTGCGTGACTTGAACATTGAAGGTAGCCTGGGCGACAGCAACCATGAGCTCATCAGGTTCACTGTCTGCCACAAGGCTGACACATCAACTAGCAGGATGTGAGGAAAAGCTAGAAATCCTCAGGTTACGGGCTCTGCTAGAGGTGCATCGATACATTGGACCAATACTGGATTGTTACCAATATAAAGAAAATTGGCTGTATCGGAAATCGACCCACTGGGGCTGATAATTTGGCTGATAAATGTCCGTGCTGCGTGCAGCCACAGTGCAGCGAGGAGCAGAGCCCAGGAGCGTGGAGAGCTGCCTCCATCTGGTAAGTACACTGTAGTGGAAGTGGAGGGGGGAGGGAAGAGGCGTGGGGGGAGCAGATCAACGTCCCCCGCGGTGAGGAAGGGACAGGGCTGGGGCAGA